TCCCCTCTTGTATTGGCACTGGGGATCATGGAGCTGTCGGAGTTTCTTTAGGAGCAGAGAGACTTGCCAGTCCAGTTGAAAGGCTGTGTTTACACAGCTACCTGCCTGAATCCTGTCCCACACAAAGATGTGTTAGAAATGTCTCCCCAAAGAGGGGGCACTCTTGATTTATGTTGGTCTCTGAATTACGATCTCTTGAACTTTGCCGATTTCTAGTAAACAACACTATGGAATAACGCGCAGTAGGAGATGCATTTAAATTTCCCTGTTGACTGCAGTGTCAGTGTTGGTTTACAGCCGCAGGAAATGGCAGGATTGCCCATTACCTCAGATTTGGAGCTCCCTGATCCAGTACTGAGGTGGCTATTTTTTTCTCAGCACTTTCTCTTATAATACTGGCATACCTAAGTGATAGGGATGCTGGACAACCAGGGCTTTGGTAGGAGGTTGAACAAGGTGTTTAATGGTAAAAGCAAAGCACTTCTCAAATTGTCTCTGATTGCATACAAGGTGGTTTTTCCTTAGAATGATTTTGAAAAGGTTAAATGTAAGAGACTGTTCTCTGATAAAAGAACTTCTGCAAGTTATCCCTAGACTTTACTAGAATATTCAGAGCTCTTACCTATTTATGAGCTTGTGTCCCCCAAACTTAATGTTTCTGTTGCCTGTTTGCTGCTTGGCTGTGATTATTCTCTTTTGAGTTTGTCCATCTGGCAAACAACATGTGATTTTTAAGAATTATCTTTAGGATAACAAAACTTTTAACTGTCGGGGTATGTGAATGATATAAAATATGAATGCTGTGTTTTGTGGAATAGTAACAACTGGTGTAAAAACATTTTGCTGACAGGAAAAATCTTTAGATACTGTCGTCAAACATCTTTTCATGAATCCATGCTCATAACTGGATTTAAGTGAAATTAGCTGGCAGTCACCTTTCTAATAGCTCCCGAGAGCTTTGTTGAAATAAATATATTTAAAGGAAGTTATCATTAACACCAAAATTATTACTAAAATATGCAAAACCAACTTTAATTTTTCCCAAAGCTAGAACATTCTCAAAAGCAGAGGAGACAAAATCTATTTTAATGGGTCCTAGAAATAAAAATTTGTGTGCTTGCCCTAAGAGCTTCATCCAGCTAGTGAGTAGCTTGTACCCTGCTCAGTATGCAGCAGCTGTGCTGCGTCAGGCCAGGGATCCCCTGGTTTTTCCCCAATATAAAGAAGGAGTAGAACAGAGCCACATGGTATTTTCTGCCAGTTATTGGAAGCCTTTGGTTTTGGAAACTTCTTCAGCCAGAAGTTCTGAAATGCAATTTATGACTTTTTGGACCTTTCTTCTATGAATTTGATGTGATTTTTTATTTTTGAGTCTGATTATACTTTCAGTGAATCAGTAGTTTCTTTAGTTTCTTCTAATAGAAAATGAGGAGAAAAATAAAGACTTAACGTTGGTTATATTTGCTGTGGAGTGAACCCTATTACAAGTGGTCTAGGGTTACCCTTCTTGGAAGAATGTGAGAGGGAGGGTGGCCTGTTCAGTAAGACTTTTTTTTTTTTTTTTTGTTATATGTGTTTGTGATGTCAGAGTCTAAATTTGGAGTCTAATTTTATTAAATATATTAAGCTATCTTATTTATTCTATAATAAATGAAGATTCTGGGAATTTTAACTAAATTTAATCTTGTAAATGCAGCCTTCTGGGCATCAATAACCCATCCAAACTTAGCCAGTTTTGCCTACTGAGAAAATAACTGTCTGTCTGTCTCTCCCATGATAGTCCTTAATTTTCACTCTCTAAATCCTTTAACTACTTTTGTCTCCCTAAAAGGCTGTCATCTGCTCAGCCCTTAGAGCAAACCCACCAGAGCAGAAGTGGTTATTGGTGGCTGTGGATTTTGGAGAGGAGCAGGAAGAAGGGTGTGTGTTAATGTTAATAAACTTAATCTTCCTGGGATGCGAGGCTGTAATAAATTCTGTGCACTTGGCGAGTCTTATTTTTAGACTTTAGGTCAGTTGATTCAGTGTATTTTTGGCTTCTTCAGAGGGAATGCCAAGAAGGATTCTTAAAAGCCTGGATCTTTTGCTTCAGAAAAATGTGGCTTTTAGTTAAACCTCTCGTTTCCCTGTTTTGTGCTCAAGCCTTTCAACAGTGAGAATAAACAGGTTGAGCACCTCAGCTACCGTCTTTATTTTTGATGCTAACTGGAGCTGGGATCTGGAGGTAGTGGGAAGCAGTAGAAAGCAAGTGGAATGTGTCCATACCCACTATTTCAGATTAAAAGCTTGACTCTTCCTGTCCATAAACATTATCTCTACTTCCCTACAGACTTGCTTCATGTTCATAGGAAATTCAAGGAAAATGATCCTTGGGGTGTGTGGATACACTGAATTTTACATCCAGTTTAAAAATACTAGTATCCATGTTTGGTGGCCTTGCAAGATGAAAACTAACATTTTTTTCCATTTGTTTCCTATGGGAGAAATCTGGAAAATGTTTTGAATGTGCTTCCAGAAAAGGAGCTCTTTGCAGCTTGTGCTGCCAATTAATTCCTACTCATAATGGAGTGAGAATTATCAAATTCTCGCCATGGCAGCCAAAAAGCAACGTTAACGGTAACTCTGAAGTGAGAGTAGTGACATAGCATCTAAATTCGGTGATTCCTATTTCGTTTCATCCTTCTGACGTCTGCTTGTGGCATTTATTTCTCCATCTTTACACAACAGCTCTATGTTAAGTCTGGATTTGTTCTGTTCGGGATCTTAGTCACAAATGTTGTTGACTGCCAAGAGCTGGGCCGGAAGAAACCTTGGTTATGTTGGTCTGATGCAAAGCTTTGTCTCATGGTTTGACTTCGGATATATTCCTAAGTTGGTCTCTTCTACATATTCGCATTGTGAGGGGTGTTTTTGGCCTTGGGCACCACTAACTCATTTCCTATTTTTGAGACTCATTCAGTGTTTAGTGGCAGCTGTTTCTTTCTCTGAAGCAAGTCCAAAAAAAAAGGTGTTGATGTTTGCATGCTCCCCGTGGTCAATCTTACAGCAGGTACTGAATTTTCATAGGGTCCAAGCTTAATTCCCTCTCTTGCTTGAGGAAGGTTCAAACCTGCATTTCGGAGGAGCTGTAGCCAGTAGATAAATGAGTATTCTGGGACTGGAGCTGTCGCTACGCCCTTATTGAAATCTTATTCTGTGGTTTTCCCCAAACAGATGATGAAACTTTCCTTAACAACAGTCTCTAGAGATCCCGAATATCCCCAGTGGAAGCAGTAAAAAGCAGAGCAACAGTATGGAGAGAAGCAGAGAGTCGGAGGTCCGAGCAGCGATTTATCTTGATGGGAATTATGTGATGTTGACATCATTCATTTGAGAAGCTCTTAAGGGAGCGCGGTGGCATCGAGACGGTGAAGAGTTAAATCAGCTGCGGAGCCGCAAGGCAGAAAAGCCAGAGGTTAAATGGGAGGGAGATGCTGCAGGGAGGGAGATGGTGTTAGAGCCCGAACGAAGCAGGTGAGAGGTCGGAGCTGGCGTGTGTGGGCTGGAGCGGCTAGCCCAGGAGAGCGCTTCATTTAGCCCTGCCTTTTAATAATGCTACTTCTCACCAGCGAGCAGCAGCCTCGCCGTTCATGGATCCAGAAATAGCAGTGTTCCTTCGCTCTGCCGCTGCAGTGTTTTGGAAAAATCGGATGTTTAAGTTCCCTGCAGGGTGGGGGGTGATGCTGACTTTGAATTCCACCCATGCAAGTGAAGTCAGGAGATGTGGTGCAGACATCTGCAGTTCAGAAGGACAACCCTGCAAGCTATTTTGTTCCTCAGGTTTATATTTGTGGACACCGTTCAAATAAAGGAGATGTGCTGACCCCTGATGAAGCGCTGGAGTCTGTGACGGGGCATGAGGGGGGTTTCTGCTCCGTCAATTCACTTCTGCTTGTAAATGTTCAATTTCAGTCTTTTCATGGTAATATGGAAATATAGTCTACCCACAGTGCAGAAATAAAGTAGTAATCATTGCCAAATCCAAAATATTTACCCTTTGGGAGAACTGCAGTTCAGGATTGTCCTCACAATTTTGATGGCTTAAGATACACTCCCAAAACTAGTCCTGTGATCTGCAGGTTCAGAGGAATGGCCATGGAAAAGAACGTCAGTTCTGTTTTTTATTTTCTTGTTTTCATAGACTGTTCAACTGAAATATCAACAAATGAGAAAAAGTCTAATGCAGCCTGCAAGTTTTACTTGTGAATTAGGTGGTGCTTGACAGCATTGCCTAACAACTTACTAAGCTGCTAACAGATGTTTCCATTAAGAAGGTGCTTACTGCTGGGAAATAACTCTTTCCTATCCAAGACTATTAAGCACAGGAGGTAACCATTTAGCTGAAAGTACTTCAGCAGAAGATGCTTATTTAGAGCAAGTCTTTGACCCTGAAAACTTGAATAGCTTTGTTTTCATAAACTGTGGTTTATGGAGTCCAAGTGGAACATGTCAAAATCATTCTTTGCAGCAAGATGCTTTTAGGATCTTCTTGTTTTGGTATTGCTAAATTTTTGTACCTAAAGACTTAACTAATTGATAGTCGTATATTGAACTGAGGTTATTAAATTTCTGCAATTCTGGATGCTCAAACAGACCCCTCAAATCAAATACTTTATTCTACCGCAATACGTTCAATGTTTTTTCAGAAGTGTTTCCTTCTTAATAGGCTTTGGTCTTCTTTCTTTCAAAAGCTAGTGTTTCATTATTGGCACCTAAAATCCAAATGCAAAGAACAGTATGGAAATATCTTGCACAATTTCAGGCATGGGGTTACTTTTAAAAGCACAGCCGTGAGGCTAAGGTTGTATGTTATTTCCCAGACACTTTTCTTATGTATTTGAGGATTACCTTTAACTGTTTCTACTAGTCCTTGTTTTGCTGCCAGTATTTTTTCCACTAGAAATATATGGTGACTGAGTTCCTTATGCAAGTAAGCTCTTTCTGTGTTATTTTTGGTGAAGGTATTGCAATAAATAATATTTATGACCCTTTCTTGAGTTCAGTCTCACCAGAACATTGCCGCAAAGTGAGTTTCAAGTACCTCCTAGTCCCTGTTCCTTCACAGGTTAATATTTTTAACACTGACTTTCTTATCTGAATCATTCTAGGGCTGCAGGGTTCTGGTTGATGCACGGGATAAGCTGGGGATCCCTTGGCAATACACGGAGAATGAGAAGCACGGAATGTTTTTGATGGCTTTTGAGAACAAAGCTGGAATGGCCATCGAGCCTGCCACCTTCCAGCTCTACGTCCCGGCCCTGAGCGCGCTGTGGAGGGACTCGGGAATCAAGGAAGCCTTCAGCCGTCGCAGCGAGTATCAGCTGGTGAGTATATCCATTTGCTGGTGTGTTAAGTTGTTTTGTAACAAAAGGTCTCCCTCTGTATAACCTTCTCATCCGAGTTTGCTACATTCAATGTTTAGCCATCCTTTGGGCAGCAGTAATGCTGCTTCGTTGCACTAATGCTGTAAATCTGAACGCTTCGGCAGCAGAAGCAAGTGGTAATTGGAGCCAAACTTGAAAAACTACATGGCGGTAAGAGGGAGTGGAAAAGTGCACGACTGGATAAACTGGAAGAGCAAGAGGAACCAAAAAAAGGCAGGAATTGGTTGAACTAAAACTATTTTAGCAGCTCAGTAGGTCTGTTCATAGCAGGTCACTGATAAAGGCACACTTAATTTGTGACTTCCCAGTCCTGCCAGCTCGCACCCTATTGATACTGGCAAACTACTCCTGTGTGCAGATCTTTTGAAGTGAACGCAACACCCATTCAGGCTGTTGCTGTCGACCTGTTCTATTCATCCTGATGTCTGCAAATGAAATCTGGACAAGCAACTGAAAGATGACAGTGAAGTTAGAGGAAAATTGTGCCATCTTCCTTTCTCGCTTGCTCTTAGGTTTTCATGCTCTAGTGCCAAAATAACTGTTTCTCTACAATAGTCAGGGAAGGAAACTTACTACTTTGTGGTTGAGATTGAGTTTAGATTTTAGGGTTTCAAACAAAATGAACCCAACAGTAATGGAGGTGGTACCTCCACTTGACATTGAATCTTGAATGAAAGTTACCTTTTCTAAAAGAACTGTGGTGGAGGGGAGACTCCAAAATACATTCTTTCTCTGCAGTTTTCTCAATCAGTAGAAGTGCGATGTGAATTACTAGGAACAAATTGCTGTGCTTTAGGACTTAAATCTTGGATTCTCCTTTACTCATCCACGATTTTTGATTCTGTGGCTTCGGATTACTTTCTGTACTTCTAAGACTCTGGAATAGGGGACTGATTCTTATTGTGTGGGTGGAAATCTGTTTACCAGTTTGCAGTAAAGAAAGAAATAATCAGTCTGAAATAATATTAGCTTCAATAATATTAGTTTCAATATTAGATTCAAGAAGAGCAGGCGGTTAAACATAATAGTGAGGGTAATGCAGCACCATCATGTACCTCTGCTCTATAGTAGTATTTCTTTGATTTGTTTTTCTTTCTCTGAGTTAACACTAGGTTGCTTCTCTTCCAAACATGTACTCATATTTAATAATGGCATTTAGACTTGTCTAGCAGCTTTAAAAGGAAAACAGAATAACCTTGCCTGTTTTCTTCTGGAGTCACATTGTGCTTTTATGTTCAGAAGTGCAGGAATATTCTTTACCTTCTGTCTCATGTGATCTTGGTAAAGTTTCTTAAAACTAATTGCATGTCATTCAACTAGTTTAAAAATTCAGTAGTGTAATTGAAACACATTTCATGTCAAAAAAAATTACAGAATTCTTCCTGTCCTGTTTTTTACATTTAAATGGAATAAATAGAATTGATAATGCAAATAATATTAAAATGAACACTTCTGTTTATCTCTGTTTCCTGCTGGTAGGATTTGTCATCTATGAAGGCTTTGTTTGATCTTTGCAATTGTCAGTATTGTATTACTTTTTTTCTGGAGTTCCTTACCCTGAAAGTAAAATTGTGCTGCTGCTTCTTAAATGTCTTCAATTCCTAGATTTAGAGCAACTTCTTAAAAAAAAATGCCTGAAAAAAGCTTTTTTGGGTTGGTTGGTTTGGTTTTTCTTTTGTTTTTTAACCCCTGAGTGTAGTGTAGCCTTTCGTAATGTGTAGTAATGTCTGAGGATCTATTACCTCCAATTAGCAACCAATTGACTGGCCATTTTTCTTCTTTCTTCCCTGTTCTGTGGAAAAAGGTACCTATGAGTGCAACTGAATATCACATTTACTAGTTCTTCGAAGGCAGTATGGGTCGTTTCTATTTCTTCCATTTCAATTTACCTATGTGATTTTAACTTACTAATAAGCAATGATTTGTTTCATCATCTCAAGCATTTGTAGACACAGAGCAGGGCTCTGCCATTTGAAGTGCTCTTCAGGGCAGAACAAAAACATGGGCCCTGCCACGTGGAAGCTCAGTTTAACACGAGATGACTACTGAGAAAATCTAGTGTAATAAGCAGTAGTAAGTGTATTGGCAGCATGTTAAGAGCTTTATTTTTCTGGGAAACACAGCGTTTGAGTAAGGGTTTTGTTTTTTTAAGGAGCGATTCAGATTAGGATCGTGTGGGAGGTTCTTCCCCATACCGGTTAGCAATAAAATTGCATCAAACTGGAAAAAAAAATGTCCAGTTTGAATAAATAGCATTCCAAGTCCAGTAAGCCTACCTCTGCGTTTCTGGCTCCGAGTGCATGATTTAAACAGGAAATACCAAAATATAATAGAAAAGCACACCCAAACCCCACAAAAGCCAGGCATCCAGGCTTGCAAGCGATCATATACTGTGCTATCGTCTTCAGCACCATGGTGGTGTGTTCCAGCATGCTGCTTTTTGCCTGGCATTCATAAGCTGTTTAATGTTACATTGAAACTGCTGCAAGCCCCTGAGCTCTCAACTTGCAGACACAGCATCACTGAGCTACTGACCAAAAAAAAAACCCCTGTTTTTAAGTCAGTCTTCTTGCTTGCCTCGTGGCAGCTACGACTTCCTGGGTTTTGTTATTTCCATGCAGGCTGTGTCACCAGGAGATGATGAAAATACCTCAATTGTGAATAAAAAGCGCTTTATTGCATAAACGTTTCATAAATTTCATGGATACAGATGCTAGTTTTGGCTTCATGGTGAAACAGATTTTTTGTCTCAGTAACTTGAGCAAGTTTCCATGCTTCACTTCTAGATTGAGCAAACCTCTGATTCTCCAAGTTAGATGATTTGTAGGTGACTAGAAGCACTTTAGATTCTTCAAAATATTTTAAAAACTGCCTAGTTCTGTACAGAAAATCCAAGGAGATGCCTTATTTATAATTGCATATAATGTGGTTCCACCCATACCTCCAGTTTGCCATTTAGTTTAAATGTTGCCTCCATACAGACTGGTGTAAATTAATAGAAGGCGCCTGTGTTAAACTTTGAAAAATAGTTCTTTACTGATTTACTTGAGGCTAAATAACTGCTGTGTATCAGCCCTTTTTCTTATTTTAAGTGAGGGGTTAAATGGAATATACTTGGTTGAAACCATTTATTATCTTTATACTTGTCTTAAAATCATTATCATTTAAGTCATCGTCATTAAAATCATCATTTGAAGCTTTACACTGCTATGATTTTTCTGAAAGCTTCTGGACAGTTTTGAAGTCAAGATCTTGCTCTGACTTCAGATTTTCTTCATCATGGCCTTACAGTCAACACTAAGACTTCTAATTATTGCTATTAGTTTGGCTCCAGTAGTAGCTCTCTAGTTAGTACAGTCCTGACTTCTAAGGGAACCTTGTGTTCTGCTTTGGAACTGTCTGTATTTCTTCAGGAAGTTGTGTGACTTGATAAAAATAAATAAAACAAGTATGTTGTGTTGGTCGAGTTCAGCTGAAAACTGCAGTGTGCAGGTGCCTTCCTGTGGTCTGTAATGCCAAACGTAATGACTGACAGAGCAGTGGAGAACTCGTGGAAAGCAAATGGCTCCGGCCGTAACCTCCCAAAATCTGGAAGTTTTTTTGCCGGCACTGCAGAAGCTGCCTGTGGGCAACGCAGTGTTTTCTGCTTCGTATTCAGGGCCCAGAAGGGCTGGCTGCAAATCCCCGTCTGGGGCTTTGAGCCCTTCAGAAACGAGTGGGTGGATCTGCAGGATGGCGGGGGGGTTGTTTGGTGTTTGCTTTGCCGTCTGTCTTGGAGCAGCCTGAGCAATTCCCGTGGCTTTTCCCAACCGTCCCCTCCCCAGCCCGTCCCCACCAGCGCAAGCTCCTCCGCTGCTTGTGCGCAAGCCAAGTAGCGCGGGGACAAAAGCCTCTTTGTGCTCTTGGTTACATTGTCAAGTCTCTGTCCTCGTTTTTAACGTCTGGGATAGGAATGTCTTTGTAATCACTATGCGATATTCCTTCCTCTCCCTTGCCCTCATTATCTTCTCCCATTTTCTCTCCGTATGGCGGAAAGGAATACATTTATCGCGTGTGTGACAAAGCTCTCTCGCGGTTGCTCTCTCCCAAGTTGCCTTGGATATTTTGGGCAACTGGATGTCGTTCTGCCTCGCCAGCAGGTGGAGACAAATTCCCTTTCGAGTGACTTCCCCTTTTGAAGGAAACTGGGATTTCGGGAGAGCTACTTTGGTCTTAGCTGAAAGGAGGGAAGCTTCTTCAAGTGGAGTCTATTACCATTACCTGGGTATATTTGGGAGTTTGAGGGAATGTACTGCAATAATCTGCAAACTTTTTTGCACTCATGAATAATATGAGACTGAGGAATTACTTTGGTCAGGGCTGTTTGGGTTCTTCCAGTGACTACACCAGTTTTTCCAATATCTCCACCCGGCTACTATTAGCTGCACTGGAGAGGTGCTGCAATCAGTGCGCGTGGGGAGGCAGAGGGGGAAAGTTAAGGAACAACCTGCATTTTTAGCAATTTTGGGAAGGGGAGAGAAGGGGGTTGCATTTCCATACAGCCAGAAAAGCTACGTCAAGGGCACTGGACAAAGTTGCAGAACGTCGTGGTTCTCTAGCAGTGACAGGAGATAGCAGCAGATTTATGCCAATTTATGCACTGGAAGTGCTTTAGAGTCGGATGGTAAATCACAAATGTTGCCCAAGCAAAAATGAGATGTTACAGAACTAGCTTCCTCTGAAAGGAAAAGGAACAGCAACTGCTGTCTTCATTAGATAAGCAGTTTTTTTTTTTCAGCAGGCAATTTCATGCATCACGTCACCAATTCTATGCCATGAGCATTAAGAAGCATTCACTTTCATTTTAATGTGTCCAGATAAACATAAAAACAACTGAAGTGAGGTCAGTTGCTTTTTGACTGCTTGCAACTTGGTGTGTATTCTGTAGTCATGGAGAAAGA